GGGGGGGGGCGGCCCCTTCTTCGGGACGCAGAAGCGATCTGGCGACAGGTAAGTCGCCAGGATCGCTTTTGTTGTAAAGCCGACAGTCGACTCTACAAGTTTAAACAGAGTCCCGGCGGCAAAAGTCACCGGGAGTCTGTTTAAACAGCCCCGATGCTGGCGACGTACACTGTACGTCGTCAGTCACGAAGGGGTTAATTTGCTTTTAGGAACACAAATATAGAAATTACTGACTGACCTGTTAAGCTCCAGTGCTATCTTCATATTTTTTCATTTATAGGCCTATTTGTCAATAACTTTGTCTTTCCTTATGATACAGATGTCATTTTTTATGGGGGGTTGGCAAGGCTTTTTTTTGGTCATATTGTATTTGAAAAGTTAATTTTCTATGTCTTTTAAAACCAAATATATAGAAAATATAGAATATGTGTATTTCCAGCTTCGTCGATAATTCTTTTTACACTGTTACTGTTAAGTTATTTACAAATAAAATACATTTTAAAAAAGAATGAATTTTATAATGTGTGTTGATACAAAAAGGAAAGAAAACAAAGGATGATATATTTAAATATTCATAGAAATGGTACACGAAAATTTTAAGTGGACCTTTACCCCCTTTCATTATAAATCACATCAGCATGCCGCTCTGAATGCTGATATGATATCATCTTACATTCATTAGGTAAACAAACATATTTTGATTTTACTTACACTTACTGTTTTTCCACTTCCTGGCGCTCTTGGGCACAAGTGATGTAATCTGTGCCCATGCAATGCATCATGGGAAGGTTACATCAGCAGTGCATGGCTGAAAAATTTCATATGTAATCTCATGAGATCTCAGGGAAAGGCATTTTCCTCCCCTGTGATGATGTGCATGGTCACATGTCCTAGTCACATGTGCCAGAGTTCCAGGAAGTAAAGGGAGATATATTAATCTGCCCTTAGTAAAAATGACCACTGCGAGAAGAATGGTGTGGAAAAGAAAAATAAGGTATGTAAAGAATAAAAATCCTGCAATTATCTAGAACTATCTGTTTGTAGATTACTATAGGTATATTTGTTGTCATTTCAAAAATATGGTAAAGTTCCTCTTTAAGAAACAAAAAGAAACAGTTTGCTCTGGAGAGTAGGGAAATGGGTTAATGACCAACTCACACAACACCGAGGCCAAAGCATCAGCATTATGGCTGGAGAACTAGCATTCTCAAAAGGAGCGTTCAGCAATAACAGACTTAATTATTCTCTGATGTCAGAGTCCCTTTTAAGTCAATATCTGCTTATATCTTATAGGGAAGATATAGAAGTGTTAATGCAGTACCCTAAAAAAACCTCCTGAAAAAAAGAAGCGGACTTCCTGTGCCTCATAGCTCTAAGTCTGCAGGGGGAGATAATTGAGGGCACTTCTACCTCTAACTGCTAGTCTCACAAAGCTTTGAATGATATTTGGTGTTGTCACTATTATTCTGCTCACTGTTCTCCTTGCTGGAGAGGAAACAGTACCTGAAAACCTGCATTGCAAAGATCTCCCTGCTTCTGTATCTGTTTAATTCATTCTGTGGATCTGTGCTTTCTCCATCTTCCCTGCTGCTTCCTGAATATCAACCCACAAGTGATCAGATCCCCAGTCATTAGATGGGGCAGTTCTGACATGAGAAAGCAAAGTTTGTCTCTACCATGATGGATGTCTCCACACAGAGCAAAAGTGGGTATGGGAAAAAGATCAGGAGGAAAACCAAATGAAATACTAGTAATTAGTCCTTATACCTCTGCTTGCCTTTTGGGCACTGTTTTCATATTAGAGGATTTTTGTAATGTAAGAAATTATATCAATGCACAGCTCCCAAAAGTCCCTAATTTGGAGAAACTGTCCTTTTGGATACAATTCCTCTTTCTCTAGTTTCTCCTGAGTTGTCTCTCTTTTTGGTCCAATGTATAGACCCCTTAAAATGTAATGATGTATAAGAGCCTATTAAAATGTAATATTTAAACACCAAATGACAGCATTTGTTATTGTGAAAAGCCAGTATAAACGAGTGGGTTTTACCAATCATTTTTGTGTATTAATTCTGCATAATTAGGAGGGGGGGCGGTCACCCTTCATTACATCCCAAGTACAGGTATGTTTATACAACAAGGTACGCAACACACATGCCCACAAGATTTCACCTTGATGCCTTTTACCCAGGGTGGGTTTAAACTATCTGGCTGGGCTGAGGGAAACATGTCAGAGAGGGGGAAAGTGTGTTGCACTGCTCTTGCACTACTGGAATGCGATCCTTTTGCTTTTGCTGGCTGTTGTGACTATAACACCCCCAGCGGGGAGAAGAAGCCAGCAGAGCTTTGGTCGCAGTGTCAGCCTTTTACCTTATCATAATGGAAGAACTCTGTTTACTTGTAATATAAAGATTTTATATACATAATAAAATAATGCCATTAAACATCAGTTTAAAAAAAAAAAATCCAAAAACTGATCCAGAGCTATTATGGTTTCCATTACCTGATGGTGTGAGTTCACGTACCCTCTAATTAATTTATATATTGTCCAAAGGGATTGTTTAATTAGGTGTATGTGTTCCGTCCAACGTACATAAGAGTTCTTAGCTGAGTTTTTGCAAAATGGAAATGTTTTTATTATCAGTGGATTTTCCATTTATGTCAACAATGCAATCGTTATACCAATATCTTCTCTTTGGTGTAACAGCAACTTTTGCCATAGAACTTCTTCCTGTCTCTGCATACTGTCACTGTGTTTTCCAACCACACACCCTCCTAGTCTGAGCCTTTTCCTTTCTTTCACCTTTTGTAATATGTTAGTTTACCTTCTTGTAAAAGTACTTGTTATATAAACACTTGTAGAAAAAATATTTGCAGACTCCGACGAAAATCCTTTTCGTCTTCTCCTTTGTGTTTTGTCAAAATAATTGAAAGCATTCTATATATATGCATCATTCCGATCTTTTATGGAGAAAGGTCAGAGCAAATATTTGAAGACTATAAACCTTTGAAAATGACAACTCTTGTCTGATGTTAACTGTCAAAGAAAATGTGTTGTCTTTTTGGTTTACTTAGCAAAGGTTTATTGACATTACATACCTGGAAAGAGCGAAGGAAGCACAGACGGCTTTGGCGGCGTAATGCAAGTGATTGTTGTATAATTTAGACTGAGAATGCGACATTCCTGACCTACAGTCAGAATACAATAAAACATGTTACAGATCTTTATTTTTTTTTGGAGTTCTGTTACAACATACAAATGATACACTGTTTTTGATTTACTAATGGCAAATAGTCTGTTCAGTTTGCAAGGTAATTTTGCCTTAGCTTAGTGAATGTGGTGAAAAGTCACTTTGCAAAGAATACCCAATTGTGAGCAAGGAAAAGAAAAAAATGTATTTTGCCTTGCACATGATTGGATGATGGAAGTCAGCAGAGCTTCACCTCATTCACAAAGCTAAGTTAAAATCCCCTTACAAAGTAAGCATCATATTTGCTTTTCATACATTAACCCCACTGAATCCTTCAGGTCCAAAAGTGGAATTGCAGCCAACCAATTAACAGCACACCTGAAATTCATATATATGTGATCTTCTTTTCCTGGCAAATGATTTATAATCCTCTTTAGCCAGTCTTATGATTAATACATCATTGCAACTGCATAGTCAGGTGACATCTTTAATCAATACTCTAGCTTTGCAGCTTTCTGTTTTACTGTCTTTCTGCTCATTGGATGATAGATAACCATCACACTGTAGAGGTCCCCCCGTGCATTTTTTTCCTGTAAGCTGCCCAATCTCCAAGTGACTAAAAACATGCTAGACTAAAGCTGGCCATACACCAGTAGAATTCAACTCAAACAAAATTCCGTTTTGGAACGATTATTCAATTTTCTAATGATTACTTGGGTAAAATCGACAAAATTCTAACAGTGAATGTGGTTTTCATTCAGGAAACTCATTGCAAAATCAAATGTTCAACAAGTTTCTGAATGTTCATACAAAACTCTACCAGTGTATGGCCAACTAGCATTGTGTATTGCATTAGAGCCTGATTGACCCCAGGATAAAGGCTTCCATTTCTGCTGGCCATACACTTAACCATAAACAATCAATCATAGATTTGAGCATTTACATCAGCATTTATTTTTAAATAAGTGTTTAACACAACAAAAGATAGTTCATCTTGATGGAATTCCGCTTGGATTTCCATTAGGTCTGATCTTTTCTTTTCCACAAAAAACAATGTTTTATTGATCAATCACCTAATTTAGTGCAGTCAAAATTGCATGTAATAATTTTTTTTATAACTATAT